CCCAACCCCGATTGGTTTCGACAGCAGGGGTTTTGTGCATGAACTCTGAAGAAATAAAATCGAACATCGATTTATCGGAATTACTATACATTTTAATTAGAAAGCTGTGGAAAAAATGACAGTGACGGAGCCAGAATTTTATCTGTTGCCAAATATACACTTGAAAAATAACAAATTAATTTATATATATATATCTAAAAAATTAAAAAAAATACGTTTGGAGAATAATATATTAATAATAATTACCCGGAATCGAGAGGCATCGAAGAAGGAAGCTGGTCTAATAAATCACAGCTTTTGATCCTAGGATGTGGGAAAATGCAATCCCTACATTGAAAACTAATTATAAGCTCTTCTCCACAATCACTTTTGATATTCTCACCTCCAGCACAACAGCACTCCATCCACTCTATACACCTACAAAATTAATAAATATTTTTTTTCGACGAATTGTAAATAAATAAAAAAATTTCGACTATATAAACAAAAATAAATAAATAAATATATATTTTTTTCGACTAATTAATTGTAACCTGTGATCATTGCTCAACTTCCATAAGATAATGTAATCCCAGCTTTTGATCCCCACCAATGGTCTAAGCCTCTCCACGAAACTTTGCACCAGCATTATATTTCCGTCGAGAATTTAAATCCGGGGGGCGAATCTTCGTTCGGCGAAAAGACGAAGAAATGACAAACCTATGGCTAAACTATATATATATATATGCTTACTTTAACATGTTAATGGTTTATTACTTACTGCTTTAATATTGTGTTTATGTTACTCTTTGTTTTTGAGAAGTTGATCAAAGTCATAAGAAAAGTAAGATCATCTGCTTTTTATATTTATATAAGCTTATAAGCTAATATTTGGTAGGTGAACAATAAAGCATGCATGAAAAAAGAGGGGGCTTCAAATTTCTTGCAAAGGTGGGTTGGGTTGGGGGGTGGGGTGGGGGTGGGGGTGGGGATATATATTAATTATAAATTAATTTTAAATAATATAATTAGTGTCAAATAATTTTTCTCATACTTAAAAAGGCAATTATAAATAAATGAAGAAAAAAAATTAATTAATTTTATAGTTTGGAATTTTCTTTTGGGCAAATTACGGCCACCCTCTAAGGTATGATCAAATTACGAAAAAATCCGCTCTTGTTTGGGTAATTACAACGATCCCTCATTTTAAATATTTTTACATAAACTTAATGTTATTCGGTTATTTATCGAACCAAATCGTATATTTAGTTCGGTAAACGGTATGAAATGTTGGCGTACCGAAATTTAGGTTCAGTTTTACCAATTTTAACATCCCTAAATTTACCTCTAGAGGGGTTTTTTCGTAAGATAATACATAGTTGAGGGAGTGGCTGTAATTATCCAAACAGCCACAGGAGGGAGGTTTTCGTAATTTGACCATACCTTAGGGGTGGCGGTAATTTGCTCTTTTTTTTTTTACATCTAACTAATTATAAATGTGACAACCTTAATACAAGTGTTAATTAATATAATTAAAAGGGGTCCTACCTAGTTGAAAGATGTGTTAAGTTATCTTTCCTGTAATTACGCAGCGACGTTTTGCATGAGCAAAGTAATATACGAATCTTAACTACCTTTACTCTTTTTTTATTATTTTTCACTAACATTCTTTATTTTTTCTTTTCCCCTAAAACATATGGACGCGCTATTTGCTAGGGGCGCGGCTCGATTTGGTTCGATTTTTGGCTAAAAACGATCATGAACCAAATATATCGGTTCGTAAAAATTATATTTTGGTTCGATTTCGGTTCCTGGTTTGGTTTTGGTTTCTTTTCGGTTTAAGAGTACCCAAATATTCAATTTATACAAAGGAAAGAATTTTACAATTACTTTTACAAATTAATTAACTAAATGCAACGAATTAAAATATAAGATCTTTAATACTATAGGACTTAACAAACATTAGAATGTATAATACTTCATTTCTTTTTTTTCCTACTTTCATCAACCGCATGATTAAAACCATGTACTCAAATAAATATTTATATTAGCGTATATATTATTAATTATTATTATTATTATTATTATTATTATTATTATTATTATTATTATTATTATTATTATTATTATTATTATTATTATTATTATTATTATTATTATTATTATTATTATTATTATTATTATTATTATTATTATTATTATTATTATTATTATTATTTATACATATATCTTGTAATCTTGAATGTATATCTCTTAGTTATCATGTGTAATAGGTTAGGATTTTTTACATATAACTATATATATAAATTATACACGTGAGAGACATAATTTTCTCTTTCTCCAACTATATTTCTTCTATATGGTATCGGACACTAGGTTAACCTAGCCATAACCATCACCCTCCCCTCAGTCGTCGCCGCCTCTCTTCTTCTCCATGGCCGGTGGATGGGTGACTCGATGAATTTGGAGCGGGTCCTACAATCGACGGGGATGACTGTTTTTGGTAGGGTGCGCGCCAGGGTTGAGATGCGGTATGAGCACTGTGGTAGCCGTAGTGCTGCATTGGGTGACGATTAGGTCCGCGACCTCCGCGACGGTTGGATCGGCCACCCCCGCGCTGATAAAGCGAAGAACCACCTCTGCGGGAACTGTTGTATGAACTGTTGTAACTGTTTGGCGGATAGTTTGCTTTGGAGGCGTAAAAACTAGCAGCGGTCTGCTCAGGTTCAGCAAGTCAATTTTCTTCCATCTGGAGAAGCGATCGAGTCCGTAGAAAAGTGGGAAAGGGGGTTTTGAAAGGAGATGAGATTAGCGACGGTCCCGTAATTTTTTGGAAGACCGTGTAGGGTTTGTAGAATGAGTTGTTTATCGGAGATTGGATTTCCGACATCGGCCAAGCTGTCCGCCGTGATTTTGATTGTTTGGCAATAATCCAAGCAGTAATTTCAAATACTACTCATCTCTCTCTCTCTGCAACATAGATACGATTTCTGATACTATGTCGTCCTCCGATGGTTTTAATAATATCAGCGGTGCCGGTGCCGTACAATTGGGTTTTACTGCCAGCTGGACTCATTCCCAGTCTGCCGCACCCTCCTGACGGCGGCCGTCGAATCCCGACATAGCCCGTCAACTATCGAACATTGTGGAGTTGCAGGGCTACAAGGTTCGAAGACACAATGAATGGAGTAAATGGCTAATCCCACAATACTTACGAAAAATGTTCCTTAAAAAATAATGTAAATTACACATCCCTGAGATATGATAAATTTACTCTAAGATCCCTGATACGCGTAAAACCTACGTATAAATAACCGCAAGTGTACAGTATCGCGTTTTGCAGAATAGTGAATTCCGGATATCGATCCACAGGGAATTAAGTTCCTAAATCTACCAAGTACCGTAATTATACTATCCTAAACTTTATCTAGACGATCGAAAGGGATGGGAAAAATGAAACAAAAAAGAAACAATAAATAAAAACAACGGTCCGACAGTATAAGCGAGGAATTCCGACGTGTGATGGCTTCTAGGGTAAAATCCACCAATGCTATCGATAAAGATCTACAAATCCGAATCTATTGTCAATTCTATGTTCGCTAACCCAGACACTAAAATACCCTAACCCCCGTCTCCAGTGTAGTTAGAGTCTACCCGCGGGTCCGACGTCTCCGTTCAGAACCTGATATTAAGAGAGCATTTAGGTCAAGTCCT